ATAACCATCAATGCATCCATTATTTTCAGGGCCACTTCCTCAAATACTTTGGGATATAAATTATCAGACCTTGGGGATTTATCGGCCTTCAATTCCATCAATATCCCCAACTCCATTTCCCCACTAATACTGATTTCCTTCAGTTGCTCCCTCTCAGTAACCTCTGTGTTACCCAATGTTTCTGCTATATTATTGAGTCATCCTTTGTGAAAACAGAACCAAAGCATGCATTTCATTGGTCAGCCATTTCTTTGTTACCCATTATCAACTCCTCTGTTTCTGAATGCAAGGACTTAAATTTGTCTTCACCAATCTTTTTCACTTCAATTCAATATCAATTCACTTCAATTCTTCAGTTTTTATGTTCTCTGCAAACTTGCTCTCGTACTTTTTTCCCTTTCTTAATCAATCCTTTGTTGAATTCCAAATTGCTCTCACTTCTTAGGTCAGTTGTCTTTTCTGGCCAATTTGTATGCCTTTTCTTTAGATGTAATACTCTGTCTAATTTTCCCTATAAGCCATGGTTTGGAACCTTTCCTGTTTTACTTTAGTGCTGGACAATTATTGCAATTCATCCACGTGTTCTTTGAATGTTTGTCATTGTCTTCCCACGTCATCCCATTAAGTAACATTCCTCAACTTATCCTAGGCAGCTCATGCCTCATAACATTATTTCCTTTCTTTATATTCAGGATCCTAGTCACCAAATCAACTACATTACTCTCCATCTCGATGAGAAATTCTATCATCATATTGTCCTTCTTTCTCCAAGGGGCCTTAGACAACTAGATTGCCAATTATGCCTTTCCTATTACATGTTATCGAATCTAGGATGGCCTGTTCTCCAGTTGGTTCCTGAACGGATAGGTCCAGAGAAACATCCTGTATACGCACCAGGAATTTCTCCTCCAGGGTAATGTTACTAATTCAATTTATTGAATCTACATGCAAATTAAAGTCACCCATAATTACTGATGTTTCTTTATTGCATGCATCTCTAATCTCCTGTTTAATGCCATTCCCAACATCACCCCTACAGTTTAAGAGTACATATACAACACTCACTAATGCTTTTTGCTTCTTGGTGTTCTCAGCTCTACCCATACAGATTCCACATTGTTGGAGCCAATATCCTTCTTCACTATTGTGCTAATTTCCTCCTTAACTTGCCTCTTCCTTTTTGTCTCTCCTTCCTGAATATTGAATACCCCCAGATACTTAGTTCCCATCCCTGGTCATCCTGCAGCCATACGTCTGTAATCCCGACTACATTATACCTGTTTGCATTTATTTGTGCCATTCATTCACCAATTTATTGCAACTGCTCCATGCATTAAGGCACAAAGCTTTATGTTTTGTTGTTTGAACATCATTTGTCCTGCTCCCATTGTTTTTCACTATGACCCTTTATGATCCTGGCCCTTGATTTCTCTGTTTATCTCTTTTCTTGTTCCCTTTTCTGACTATTGTGCTTGTCCTTGATTCTCCTTCCCCTGAATCCTTGCATAGGTTTCCATCACCCTGCCAATTTAGTTTAAACCATTCCCAACCACTCTGGCAAATCCTGCCCCCACCGCCTCCAGTATATCAGTCTCAGTCCTCTCCAAATGTAACCTGTTCAATTTGCACTGGTCCCACCTCCCCTAGAACTGGTCTTAATGCCCCATGAATGCAAACCCCACCCTTTTGCACCATCTCTTAAGCCATGTATTCATCTGATATACCCTACTTATTGCTACTCTGACTAACATATGGCACTGGCAGTAATCCTGAGGTCACCACCTTTGAGATCCTACTTTTCAACTTGCTTCCTAACTCCCTATATTCTACTTTTAGGACCACTTTCCTTGTCTGTGCTTGCATCAATGTGTAACACAATTACTGGCTGTTCCCTCTCCATCTCCAGAAGTTCCTGTAGCCAATCTGGGACACCCTTGACTCTAGCACCAGGGAGACAACATTCCATCCTGGAGTCTCAGGAGCCACAGAAACACTTATCTATTCCCCTTTGCAATTGAATTGCCTATAACTATTGCATTCCCACACTTCCTGCTTCTCTACAATACAGCAGAGCCAATAATGGTGTAACAAATTTGACGGTTACCGATTTCCCATGACAGGCCAATTTCCCCAACAGCATCTAAACTGGTATATCTGTTTTGCAAGGGAATGGTCACAGATAGTTCCTGCACTGCCTGCCTACTCTTTTTATTCTGCTTGGTGGTCACCCATTCCCTTTCTGCCGGAGGAGACTTCGCTTGCAGTGTGAATTTGTCTCTGTATGTGTTATGCAAGATACCTTCAGCTTTGCGAATGTTCCACTGTATCTCAGCTGGTGCTCTAGCTCAGAAACTTGGGCTTCCAGGGGCTACAGCTGAAGCCACTTCTTGCACACAGACTGGCCCCACACACTGGAAATGTGCCTGTCCTCCTCTGTAGAGCAGGAGGAGCAGATCTTGAACTCTCCTACCATGACTTCCCACTTTTAAATTAAATTTTTTTGAAGATGCTTAATATCAAATAAGATCAATTATTTTAGGGTCCTCATTCCTCATTACTGTAGAATATAATCTTTACAAATTATAAACCACAAGGAAAAGCATAAACTTAAAAAAAAGCACCTCTTCGCCTTTGCACCAAATTCCGATTGTGCTCCAAATTCCCAGAAACACACATTTTCTCTGAGTTTGTCTCACTCTGGATGTGCTCTATGTGCCTGTCATGGTCAAATCTTAGCATGGGATAGGAATTGTGAGAGTGAGGCTTACAAAGGTGTGAAGCGTGTGACTGTGAATGAAAGCATGTAAATTGAAAAGATAACTACTGGTCTATAGAGATTGTTAGTCAATGGGTGATGAGGTCAGCAAATTGAGCAATGCAGGAGGCAAGCGCAGCAGTTGAAAGGAAATGCAATTTGAAGATCAATTTGCCCACTTTGCCAACTTGTATCAGATCATTAAACATCAGCCTGCTCCGCATCCATGGTGATGGAGCTTTACTTCCGGTGTTGACCTCTGCCACTGCTATATCTTGCTGCTTTCCGAACATTTGTCTGGCACGACTCCTAACCCGATCCCAACGGACACATGGTGTTTCTTCTTCATTCTACCCCTTGCAACGTGAGCTCTCTTTATGTTGGCACCTTCACACATTGCTCAGATTCACTTTTTAAAACCTACTTACCACACTTGCAATGCCCCTTTCTTATAAAGAAGTGCAACCGTCATTAAGTAGCATTGGCCATTCATGATATCCAGCCCCGACTCATACGCAGCTAACCAACAGTGTGGTGGGTATCTGTTGCATGTAGGAATAATGGAAACAAAGAGGCTGAACTAATGATCCCTGCAACGTAATAAATAGGTATAGGCTATTTGCGAGCTACATCCCCTGGTTGATTCTGGGGGTTGGGGGTGGTCATTAACCAATTTAACAGCAATGACATTCTAATTATCACTGTAAAACAGATTGGCTCAGTTGGCTAGAGTATGGTGCAAAATAAAACCTACAGTGTAGTCTCAAGCCCCATTCCTGCTGCGTTATTACTCACAAAAACAGCATTGAGTCATGGTCTGTTTATGGTTTAATTAGAAAATACATAGAGCAAGGAAGAACAACTGAGTTCAGCAAACATAGAAAATAGTGGCTTTAAATTGGGAACAGCTTAAAATTTCAAACTAGAGTTATTAGTAACTAGTTAGACAGAATTCCTTTCAACAATTGGAGGAAAATATTGAGGAATCCGGAAAATCCCTTTCCAATGCTCAATTACGGTTTGTAAATCTCCGAGTCTAAACAGACACCGTAAAATATAGTTTGTACTTTCCCCAAGATGTTTATGTTCTTTCCATTTAGTTTAGCCCCTCTGTTGCCTTGACTATGCACTTTCCCAAGTATGATGCTAGGATAGCGCATTGCTTTCTTTTGTGATTCTCAAAACTTTGGCTCTAGTTCAGAAGACAATCCTATTGCAGGGGCAATTTTCTCAAGAGTTATGTAATATCTTCTAATTGCACAGCCATTGATTTGTTTTGTATGCAGGGCTGGGTAAAAGAAACAAGGCCAAGATTTGCTACTTACCTATTGTTCTCCCCATGATTACAGCCTTATCCCTTCAAGTCCCACAATGTTTGTTGTGTTAAATAGGGAAATTTAACACCTTGACACAGCAGTGATGACACATCCAAATCACAATAACACAACAATCCAAATCCCAGGTCAGAGAGAACGCAGTTTGAAGAAGTGAGTTAGGCCACTGCTATGACAGCGATTCTTGGGCTGTCTTTTAAATATGTCTATCCACAGCTGACATCTCAAGGCACTGGAGCAGTACCACAAACGCTGCCTACGCAAGATCCTGCAAATCTGCTGGGAAGATGCACCAACACCAGCACACTCAACCAGGCCAACAACCCCAGCATCAAGGCACTGACCACCCTTGATTGGCTACAATAGGCTGGGCACATCATCCACATGAGTGACGTGAGACTCCCGAAAATGGTGTTCTACTCCTAGCTTCGAAACAGCAGGCAAGTCCCAGGTGGACAGAGGAAACGCTTCACTGATACCCTCAAGGCTTCAAAGTGCGGCATTCCCAAAGACACCTAGGAATCACTAGCCCAAGACCATCCAAAGTGGAGGAGAAGCATCAGGGAAGGCATCGAGCTCCTTCAGACTTGCCATCAGGGAAAAAAATGGAAGCTAGGCGATAAGAGTGAAAGGAGCATGCTGCCACACCAATGTTCCACCCACCCCTTCCTGTAACCACCACCTGCCCCAAGTGTAACAGAGCCTGCAGTGCTGCATCAGTCTGTACAGCCACCTATAGGCTCACCTGAAGAGTGAAAAAGAATCATCTTGTCTGTGAGGGGCTGCCGATAATATGGTCTTTTAAATTGTTAGACTGCCACCACTGTGAGTTTAGCTTTTTGATGTGCACCTATTACAAAATCCATTAATACCCTGATGGCAAAACTTTTAAGAGATTATAGGAGTGAGACAATTTTTAAAACAATTTATTTACACAATTTACATTTTTATAAGTATAGTATATTCCCAAGCAACTCAATGAACTGGAGCTGAGTCAATGACATAATATTAGATTCTAAATGTTATCAAGAAACAAGTTACAAAATAAACATTCCCAGTCCTACAGTGAGAAGACTTGGTAAGTGCGAACAAAAAGGATTTGGTACAGAGCATTTTACTGTTGTGAAATCAGATTGACCCAGCATTTAACTATGTTGGGGACAATCAGAATACTGGCTAGTGTACAAGAGGGACAGATCAGATAGAATAAACCTGGCACTGCAGATGACAAGATCAGACAGAGTAGATCAGGCAGACTAGAAAATGCAAGATCAGACAGAATAAACCAAACAGAATAGAGAGATCAGACAGAATAACCTTTACAGAGAAGGCAAGGCCAGACAGAGAAGGCGAGGTCAGACAGAATAAATTACAGAAAGTGGAAGACAGACAGGATAAGGTGAGTGCCTATCTTGAACAGACCAATCCCAGTGTAGTGAATACAGGATCACATACAAATCTACATTTAAAAACCAAAACCAGTTCTGAGAAAGGGTCACTGAACCAAAAACGTTAACTCTGATGTTTTCTTCACAGATGCTGCCAGACCTGCTGAGCTTTTCCAGCAACTTCTGTTTTTGTACAAATCGACCTTTGTCCATCTAGAACCTTCGATGTAATAAAATATCCCAAAGAACTTCCATAATCATTTTTTTTTTTTAAATCAAGCCACATGAGCCACATTTTAAGCCAAAGGCAGATTTCAGAGAATGACCCAAGGGAAGGTAGAGAGTTAGAAGGTAGACAGTGGGGAAGGTATTCCTGAGCTTGGGCCCTAGACAAATGGAAGCCACAAATACCAATTATGGAATCATTAACATCAGGGATGAAAAGTTAGATGAGCACATGTATCTCAGAAGATGAGGCCACCTTTTGCAAACAAGGTTGAGAATTTTAAACTCAAGACATCGCTTTAAGTGAGAACAAGAGTAATAGGTGAATGGGACTTGGTGTAAGTTTTAAGCAGAGTTTTGAATGATCTTAAAGGCTACAACGGGTGGAATGAGGAGTGATCAGCCAGAATTATATTGGAATAGTCAAACATAGAGGGTGCAAAGGCATGAATGAGTTTCAAAAGCAGATGGAACCAAGGTAGAATAGAATCAGGCAATGATTCAGAGATGGAAATTGGAGCCCTAATTCTAGCTAAGATATGAAGCTGGAAATTCAACTTGTGGTTAATTTTAACAACAAGATAACAAACAGTCTTGTTTAAACTCAAAGCAGTTGACAGAGAAGGATGGGTGCTGGTAATTAGGAATAGAGTTTATAACAAGGACTGAAGCGAATTGCTTCAATATTCCCAAAATGTAGCTAGAGGAAATTTGATTATCCAACATCCGCTACTGGAGCAACAATCTGAAAACTTAGCAACAGTGGAGGAGTTGAGAGAGTTGATGGTGAGGTAGAGCCGGAGGTCATCAGTAAGCATGTGAAAACCAACGCTGATGCAAATTGTCAGTGAGGGGCAGCATTTGGATGAGAGAATGGAGGAGATGATGACCAGATCTTTGGGGCCAACAGAGTTAGTGGTCGGACAGCACGAAAAGAAGTCATTGCAGGAGATATTCTGACTATGTCAAGACAGATTGTAAATGGAACCATTTGTGGGTGTCATCATCCAACTGAACATCACAGGAGGCTTTGGAGGAGGATGGTGTGATCACTAGCTGCGCCAGATGAAATTTAATGCAGGTAAGTGAGAAGGAAATGAAAATTAATAGAGAGAAGTGTGAAGTAATTCATACAGTAGGAAGTACAACAGAAAATATAAATTAAGGCAGACAATTGTAAAATGGGCACAAGTGTAGAGGAATCTGGAGGTGTAGCTGCACAACTCACTTAAGATAACAAGACAGGTTGAGAGCAGTTAATAAGGAATTGGGATTTACTCTGGGCTATATAAAAGAGGCAGAAGAGTACTAAAACACAGATTTTAAAGAACATCCCAAAGGAAGAAAAAGAGTTAGAGAGATCAGTGAAGAGCTTGGGGTGTAAGTAGATGAATGCACAATTATGAATTGTGAAGTCATTAAAATCAGGGATGCACCAGAGGGAAATGTTGAAAGCATGTTTTCTCTTGTGGGATAATCTAGAAGTAGGGGGTCACAGTTTAAAAATAAGGGGGTGTCCATTTAAAACCGAAATGAGGAAACTTTTTCCCTTTCTCAAAAGGTAGTGGATGCAGAACCTTCAAATAGTTTTAAGGCAGAGGTAGATAGATTCTTAATTATCAAGGGGATGGCAGATTTTGAGAATATGCAGGAATATAGAACTGAGGTTAAAACCAGGACAGCCATGATCTTATTGAATGGCAGAGCAGACTTGATATCATGTCAGCCTCAGCTAAAGAATTGTGTAAAGCTATGATCACAACATTTTAGGAAAGATGTGAAGACATTAGAGCAGTAGCAGAGAAGATTCACAAGAATGGTTCATTGGATGAAGATTTCTATTTGCATGGATTGGAGAAGTCAGTACTGACTTCCCTGGAGAAGTATGGGGGTGATTTGGTAGAGGTATTCAAAAGAATCTCTATAGAATGGAGAGACATAGTTCCTACTGTTGAAAAGTTCAAAAAATTCAGGGCACCAGTTTAAGATAAATCATGTAACACGTGGTTATGATCTGGAATGCATTGCCTGAGAATGTGATGGAGGCAGGCTCAATCATAGCTTTCCAAAAAGAAATGGATTTTAGAAGGAAAGATTTGCAGGGCTGCTAGCAGTGGCAGTAGATGAAGTACAAACAGCTGTCACAGTTACAACAAAGCAAATGGCCTTCTTTTGGTTGGTGACCATTCTATGATGCAACAATTTCAGATGCTGCAGACAGTTTAATTTTGTCACCTATACGCAGAATATCATTTGATACTTTGATAAGAGTCAGTTCCATTGGATTAGTTAGAATATATTGTCCCTGCTACAGTGAGTAGCATAAGACTCAACAAAATTAGCATAACATTTCCTAGTGTAAACAGTGTTGCTTAAGGGATAAATGTTGGCCAGGTCATTAGTAGAACTCCCATGTTCTTGTAAATAATGCCATGAGATCTATTTCTCTAATGCAGCTGGGTCTTGATTCAGTACTTCAATCTCTGAAATTCCTCAGGACTGAGGCACACTGAATGTGCTGAAGTCTCTGTAGTGCAGTTTGATCCAACATTCTTCATCTAAGAGTAGTCTAAAACGCACATGGTGAAACTAGAGGGGAAAAAGGTAGAAAATATCCAAAAGCATATGTTTCATTGTTTTCTTATTTTTTTAAATTTTTTTCTTTCACTGACTCCTCCTACTGATAAAGACAACAATCCTCACTGAAACATCGCCATCAAAAATATTAACCGCATTTTTAACACAAGTTCATATATGAACTAAATGACGGGCACATTGCCAAAATGTCAATAATGCACTTCATTGAATTCATCGTGAAAACAAACATAAAAATTTACAATTTCTGAATTTACCAACTTGCAACTTTTTCTTTTAACAAGCCATTGATGTTGACTGATACGCTACAATTTTTTTTGAGTGGCAATTGCTTTCCACTACTTCACCCAATGGGCTATGCTTTCTGTTAGGAACTGCATAGGTCACTCAACTGCAAACATCATCCCATGCTTAGGCACTGCGCTGTTCTCACCAGCTTCCAATACTTCAGAGTAGGAGTCGACGGAACAGATGGCTGATGATCCATCCATAACCTAGTTCATCAGCACTTTGCCTGTTGCCCCAGCTCATCCAAAACAGAGAACAGCGTAAACCTGGGTTCAGTGTGACACTAGCTGGTAGTCTTCACCCACTGTCTGGCTCACTGGGGAAGAGTGCCACTGTCTGCTTTAAATTCTAGAGATGGATGAGAGGTAGTCAGAAACGCAGGCACTTTTTGTTTAAAAAAATATTGGAAATCAAAGGGTGCTACTAAATTTACAGGAATGATTAATGTTTGGAATTTCTTTTCTACAAGTGATATGACCTGTGAGGGGAGAACTACGCATAAACAAAATACATAGAAACCACTCAAAGACAGTAAGACTTTGCCTGAAGGAAGCACATTTACGACAAAACAAAGCAGGAGTGTTGTCCATGAACATGACACACCTTTCACTTCACAGTTAGAGAGAAGATACCATGACAGGACCATTATGTAGCAGCTTTTAGGTCCTTACAATTTTCAAAGTGTTCCAATGTAGTCACTGTTTCTATTGTCAGAAAATATGGCACTTGACAGAAAACATGGTCACACAAACAGCAATGAAATCAAACAGATTATACAGTCATTTCAAGGTGATGTGGAGTCACGAGACAATGGTTATTAACATTGGGAAAACCTCCATGTCCTTCTTTACTTGATGCTGATCTGAGGCTGAAGCAAGTTAGCAAAGTTTCCACATTCCATGCCAGACTTTTTAAGAATTCATTTACAGCTATGGGTGTCACTGGATGGACCAGCATGTATTGTCCATTCAAATTGCCTTTGAGCAGGTGGTGGTGAGCCACCTTTTTCAATCTTTGCAATACATGGTTAGGGGCAGATATACCTACAGCGGTTAGGAAGGGAGTTCCAGGATTTTGACCCAGCAACAGTGAAGGTATAGTGATTTAGTTCCAGTCAGGATGATGTGTGGTTTGCAGGCAGTGGCATTTTCAGTCTTCTGCCCTTTTCTTTTTAAGTGGTAGAGGTAACAGGTTTGGCATGTACTGTCGATGGAGTGGTTGAGTGAGTTACTGCAGTATATCTTGCAGATAGTACTCACTGCTTCCAATGTGCAATGGAGATGAAGGAAGTCTAAGGTGGTGGATGGGGCGTCAAGGGATCAGGCTGCTTTGTTCTAGATGATGCCAAATTTCGTGTGTTATTCGAACTGCACTCCTCTAGGCAAGTAGAAACTATTCCATCCACTTCTGATGTGACTGGTAGACCGCTGACAGGCTTTGTGGAATACAGAGGCAGTTATTGACCCCAAATTTGCTGTTATAATCACAGTACTTATACGGCTAGTCCTTTTAAGTATCTGGTCAAAGGCAATACCCAGCTATTATTCCAAGTTAGCTGATTTCAGTAATGACAGAATGGGGGTAGGAACAACCACATTGAACAGTTGTTACTTGAAGCAAGAGGGAAAGGCTGAGATGCCACTACCCTCATTGGAACGGAGAACTTCTCATCTCCTGGAATCATGGCTCAGATCTGAAGCACAGTTACTTAGCACAGTTTCTGGAACTCAACCAGCAAAGAAACAAGTTTTCGGAAGAGGCAATATGAAAGGAGGAGAAAGGAGAGTGACCTCAGAAAAGCTGGGATAAAGTCTCAGCCTCTGGCACCTGGAACTGCACTTAATGAGGCTACAATGGAAGCAAAGCTTTTGGTCTTGGAACATACACTTTGCAAGACGTGACTGAGTTTCAGACGCAATTTTGTTCAGAGCAGGGGATAGTGGAACAAACTGAAATTAACTCTCACATTAAAAGATACACATATGTATATATTAAAAATGTACGGTGTTATTTACGTTGATGCCAAATCAACTAAATTACACCAACACAGGGACGATAATGGTCTGTGATCAATTGTGAGCATGAAAATAAAATTATCCTAAGAAACCAGTGATAATAAATCCTTGGCAAGGTCAATTCAAATTTACTAGCCCCCTCTATACCCATCACTAATAGCTACGGGCCATTCATTTTTGACACGAGTCATTGAGGAAGGAAGACATGGGGTTCCTCTTACCCATGTACAGTAACACCTTTACTGTTTGTATCGTAATAGGCCGTGGGAGCGAATGCTATTAAGCGGCACTGCTGCACTAGCTAAATGTCACAGACCACCTTCTGCTGAGCGGGGTTGGAAGTCATCCTTCCTCATCCAGCTCAGATCAGAGCGGGTCACGACTTCGCAGCGGACCAGCAACACGTCATCTTTCACATAGGTGCGCTGCTGGAGAGCTTTGAGATGCAGGAAGGTGACATAGCCGAAGCCCTTGGGGTTGCGCTGTAGAGCAGGCCGCTGGAAGGCCAGCAACTCGGGTTTGCTCTCCATGATCTCCTCATGGTTCTGCTTGATGGGGCCCTCTGACTGGTCAAGGATAGAGAGCCGGATGGTGCCCTGAAAGGGCCAGGTTAGGTAGCTGTCATACTCGCCCTGCATGGTGTGCACAAAGAGTGAGATGTAGTTGGAGCAGCGTTGGGCACTAGGTGACTGCAAGTGCAGGCGGAGGCACAGTTTGTAGCCTGGCTTGCCTGTATAAAAGCCAGGGCTGTGGAGCACGACAGGCTGATCCTCTGCCTGTGCCTGCAGGTGGGCGCCAAAGTTTTCCACCTTCCAGATAAAAATCCCATTGCACTGCTGGGCCTCCAGCTCACCAAGGCGTTCTTCCAGCGCCCGGACACTCCGTTTCAGGTCCCCCACCTGGCCACTCTGCGTCTCCATCTTAGCCGTGAGCTCCCGGATCTGATGATCCTGCCGGACCAGACGTCCCTCCAGTTGATGAACAGTCTCTTTCAGGTTCTGAATCAGAGGTGAGCAGTCACAAGATGGCGAGACCCCAAGTACTGGTGTTGACTGCGAGCGTGAGGCCTGCAGTGACCCTGGGAGTGTCGCTGGCTCAAAATCGTCTTCTGAATTCAGTATGTTAATGGATGACACCTGGGAGTTTAGTCCTGTGCTCACACTGCGCAGCGTCTGGGCCATCATCCGCATGTGGGCCTGTGTGTAATCCTGGAGGTGCATCGCCAGGTCATTCCTCTGCATCTGAACAATTTGAAGGAGTCATGTTAGCAGGTTTCTACAGCACACATTAAAGTTACATGGATGTTACAGACAAAGGAAGCAACAAATTAAATTTTTATCACAACCTTTATCACTGTAAAACACCCCAAGGGGTGATTAGAAGAATGATTTGATACAAAGCAACTGCAGATATATTAGGATACATGATCAAAATTTTACTAAAGATATCTTAAAGAAGGAGAAAGAGGTAGAAAGATATGTGGGGAAGTTTACAGATTAGGTAGCTGAAAGGACAGTCATTAATTCACTGGAGATGAGAGCTGTGAAAGAGCAAAATGGGCATTTGTAAGAATTGGATAAATGGCAAGATCATAGGGGTGTTGAGGACTGGTGAATGAAAGGAGGAGAGTGTAACTACAATAATTTAAAATTTTTGCTGGAGCAGAGTTAAAGACGGCTACAACTGTGGGAAATCTTTTTAAAAACACAAAAATAAATGGTTGAAATGTACAGCATTTAAAATAAGGAAAGTGTGGTGAACAATTCAGTTGGCTGGGTGAAATAGGACAGTGTTGCTAACACTTAAAACTTACTGTCTTTCTGAAGATGCCTCAACACTCAGCATTCACTGGGGTCAATTTAATGTTTGGAACAGTGGGATGCCATTGACTGCCTCATGCTTGTTGCAACATTCAGTTAGATGATGGCCAATCGCTACCCACCCTAACTTTGCAAGCCTATGCTTCACAAAGACACAATCTGGGTGTTACCATTTCCAATGGAACATGCTCTCAACACCTTCTCTGGAGGATCATGTTCCAGATTTTCGCTATCATTTGTGCCCAAGTGCTTCCTGACATTAACTTTGAACAGTTCAACTCTAATATTAAGGTTATTCCCTTGTGTAACTTTCTACATATTTAAGACTTCCTCCAGGAAGCATGGGGTAGCACGGTAGCTCAATTGAGAGCACAGCTGCCTCACAGCACCAGGGACCTGGGTTCGATACCAGCTCTGGATGACTGTCTGTGTGGCGTTTTCACATTCTCCCCATGTCTGTGCAGGCTTCCTCCGGGTTCTCCGGTTTCCCCTCTCAGTCCAAAGACGTTCAGGTTAGGTGGCCATGCTAAATTGCCCATGGTGTCCAGGGATGTGCAAGCTGGGTGTACAAGCCATGAGAAATGCAGGGTTACAGGGACAGGGTTGGGGCATGGGTCTGGGTGGGATGGTCTTCAGAGGGTCGCTGTGAACTTGATGGGCCAAATGGCCTGCTTCCGCACCGTGGCAATTCTATGATTTTCCCATGATTCATAAGCATTGTGATAACAGTCACTGCAAAAACAGAAAATGACACATCAAGACTGTTTGTAAAAAAAATGGGGTAACCAGTAGGTTTAATGGGGCTGCAAAACAAGTGGAAACTGCCATAAGAGATAATCATTCCAATTCAGCAATTAGAAAGACAAATGTTGAATGAAAAATAATTTCTCTGTAGCAGCCAAAGGAGAGGTAAATAGTTTTTAAACAGTATTTGAGGGTATCTAATTTTACTTTGTGACTTCTAGTACAGAAACAAGACTGAGCTTCTCCAGCTATCTACTCTCTGTGCTACTCATTCCACATCACCTTCAGTCCTGGCAATTCTATGCATTTTCTCTGCACTTGTCATAATGTTTGAAGTTCTTCCCTCTCTTCAAACTTTCTCATTCATTGACATTGCCAGGTTTACCAATCTCTCCAGGGGAGGGGTAGGGGAAGGAGTAACCATTACTCAGGACTGCACAATGATCAGAAGTAAAGGAGTAAAGGTACCCAGGAGTACTATCGGAAATGCGGTAGAAGATACAAAAATCATCCAATAATAATAGTAAAAGATCAAGGAGAAAAAGGGATAACTTGGAAAGGAGGAACTATCACTAGAGAAAAAGTATTCATGAACTAAAGGTTGACATGGCCCCTGGTCCTGATGGTCTGCATCTTAGGACCTTTAAAGCTGTCAGATTGTAGATTACAGTTTGCAATCTTCCAAAATTCCATAAATTCTGGAAAGATCTGACAGATTGGAAAACTGTATATGCAACACCTCTAATCAAGAAAGCAGCAAGATAGAAAGCAGGAAACAATTAGCCTAATGCCATCATTGGAAAATTACAGGAGTCTTTTATTAAAGGAGTAGGAGAAAGGCATTTAGAGGATCATGATAAAATCATACTAATTTTGTCTGATAGTATGAAAGGGAAGTTGTGCTTGACAAATTTATTACAGTCCTTTGGGTAGAGAGGAACCAGAGGATGGAGTGTACGACATTCAATAAAATACCACATAAATAAATAGAGGAATCTTTCCCCTCCTCGGGGAATATTTCCTATCTGTACAGTATTAGAAGTGGAGAGGTTATAACTTCTGAGCTTCAGTTTGTTGTGTGTATCATCAGTGGTCTTTGGATAAATTCATGTTAGTTTAACAACTATTAACCTCTTAAAATAAATAACATAAAAAATAACAGAACTCAAAACCCACTTCCTGTTCTAAAACTAGCAGAGCTGCAATTATCAGGGTGGGGAGGCAATAATTAATTAATTTCACATCAGTACAAGGTTATAGATAACAGGATCAGCCAGTCCCTTGAAAATGCCTTGAATCACATCTACAATTGCAAGGAATGTTATAGTACTGACTCACCTTTTCTGGGCAGCCAAAGACACTGAAAGTGCAGGGGACAGGTGCTTTTGGACAATCCAGATTATAATGATTCTGCAACTGTTAAGAGAATGATTACACTCAAGTTAAAACCAAGAAGTGAGGCATAAATATGGAGGATGGCAATGTGTAGTGCCCTCTGGACTTACTCTGGTATCATTTTTCTTCCTTCCAATACTTGGCCACCCCACATCCTCCCACTTCTCCCCTACTACTGCAGGAATGACTGATAGAATTTGCCCATCAAAATGACTTGCAATTCAGATTAACCCCCAACCTTAAGTACATCACATAATTTGCTCTCCTCAATTTACAGGAAGCCTCACAATCGCTAATCTAGGGATTTAAAATTGAAGTTAAAGCAGCTACATACCCAGCGGTTCACAGATGTAACATTAAAAAATATAATGCGTTTTACATCAGAGATCAGCATCAGTAAAAAGTTCACAGCAGGGTCTAACCTATACATAATATCTCGTGGGCAGCACAGTGGCTCAATGGTTAGCACTGCTGCCTCATAGTACCAATGTCAAATTGTCCGTAGTGTCCAAGGATGTGCAGGCTGGGTGGATTAGCCATGGGAAATGCAGCGTTGCAGGGATAGGATAGGGGAGTGGGTCCGGGTGAAATTCTCTGCAGAGCATCAGGGTGGACTTGATGGGCCAAATGGCCTGTCTCCTTTGATTCTATCATGCAGCCAGTATCATTACTGATGGCTATATACTATTCCACTGGACTAGCTACCAAAAACACTCTTATCCCATTGTCAGCATGGGCCACTCAGGCCAATTGTCATCCCAGATCAGGAAACTCAGAAAAGTTCAAGGGCTCAAACCGGAGACTTCCTTGGTCTGTATGATTGAGCACACATTAAGTTATAGATATACCCGAATGAGTCATGGCGACAGTTTAAGATGTACCTGTTTCAGTAAATACTGGGTGCTTCTGCGATCTATAACATAAAACAATAACTCCCAAGGGAAGTACATAGAATGTACACAGGCCAGTTGGCTCACCAAATCTAGGCTAGGTTTAACACACAATATGAGCTTCCTCCCACACCTCATCAGCTTCAGCTTAATCTATCAGCTACCTTTATTTCCCTCATGCACAACATCTGATTTACCTTTGGACAACTGTGCTAAAGACATCAACAAACTGCCCTCGGGGATACCATGCACATCTAATCACTGCAATCTTTGAATCTTCTTGCAAAACTGTACTTGTGAATGCTTATATTCACCTCTTTCACACATTCAGGCAATCCGAGAGGTAACTCATCAGCAATTACAGTGAATTATTTGCAGTCAAAATTTAACCTTGAATATTCCCCCACACAACTGAAAGACTGTTCTGAAGGCAATGGTAGACACTAGTATAAAATGTTATCATGTCACAGTTACATGACTATCCTAAACATGGAATATTCACGTTTGAATGCTGTGGCTTAATGGTTAGATTACAATATAGACAGGCAAGACACATCAGTTAGTCCTCTGGCTATGTACTATACCAAACCCTAAGAATCACAATACTTTAAGCATTTACATGACTACAGGAAAAATAGCAAAATACAAGACTGGACTAAGTCTCAGTCTGGGAGAAAAAAAATGTGTGCATTTGCATATTCAGTACCAACAAGTGAGTGTGTACAGAATATAGATTGGTTCTTTCTCATTAAAATACTGGAAACATTGGAGTTGTTCCTGTTATCTGCTAAGTTTCATTCTTCAGTTCCCATGCACCAATTGATATTAAGGAAGCTTAAATCATCTGAGAAACTGTATCTCTGTCTACTGGGAACTTTCAAAGTTTCTTGTATTGACAGAAATCACACAACATCCTTTCCCCCCTCCTTAAAGCACCCTACCACACCACATAAGTCATTTTCTTAAATTAATTAATTAATTCAAAGGAAAAAGGGATTGAAGATAAGACAAACATAAATGTGCTCACGAAGATGGTGGAGAGCTTTTCTTGTTCATGGGATATTGGCATCACTGACAAGGTCAGCATTCATTGCCCATCCTTAATCGTCCTTGAGAAAGTTGGGACGTAGGTACATTCAGTGCTGTTAGGAAGGGAGTTCTAGGATTTTGATGGAGTGAGAGGAATGGCAATATAGTCCCAAATCAGAATGGGACGTGGCGTGGAGAGGGACTTGCAGTTGGCACTGTTCCCATCAACCAGAGGTTAGAAGTTAGGAAGGTGCTGTCAAAGAGGCTTTGGTGAGTTGCTGCAGTGAAATCTGTAGATTATCTGCACTGCTGCCCTTGTGTTCCAGTGGTTGAGGAGCAAACATGTAAGGTTGTGGCTGGAAAGCCAATCAAGCTTTATTTTGGTTGGTGTTGAGTATCAAATGTTGTTGGAGCTGTACTCATGCAGCAAAGTGGTCTGCATGATCAGCAAGGCTGGTGGTAGGTACCAGGTAATTTCAACCTTGTTCAAGAATTCTTATTAAATATTTAAATCTAATGCACTTAAACTCAAAGAAAGGGCATCCAAAACTTTGTCCATGATACTAAGGACAGGAAGGCAAAGTAAAATCCTGTCTGCAAGTGACCAGTAATTTACAAGGTTCATTGTGAAGGGTCAAAACAAGAGGAGTAGACAGACTCTACAATGAGAGGCAAAAACACTGATCTCTGTAAATGTACACTTTCTTGAAAGCATTATTATAAGCAACACTTTCATACTGAATAGATGATATTATAAATTGAGATGTGAGCCTGCAATTACTGCTTTATTGAAAAGGAGCCCAACAACCAAAACCAATGGTCTGACTGATCTAGGCAGTGGAGAGTATTCCATCACAATCATCCTTGTCGCCAGCAAAAAGGCTCTATCGAATCAGATGAGTTACTGTTCCCTGCTGCAGGCTTACCCTTCTGGCAACAAAATTATTGGAAACGCATATATTTATGGATTATGAGAAATGGAAAAAAGGACACTACTATGTTGCAAAGGATTGCTCGGAACTGTTATGTCAAATGGTTAAAGGAAACCAAGATCTATTTGCAGTTTATAAAAAGACAACAAGCAACTGGAAAGCAGTGCCCAGCAAAGTTTGAGAAAGAGATAATGGTAGAAGTTTATTGCTTTCATTGTTGAGCAAAAAGGACTGAAAAACCCCAATAAATCTAAATGGCAATTACCTAGCAACAGCCTATGGACTAAGGCAAAGGGTGTTTCTTTCAGTACACACTTAGAAGCTGTGAGCAGTTGCTGGAGAAGTTGCAAAGATGCATTGCAATCACACTTAGTCGATAAGAATCAGAGTCTGAAGCTGAAAGCAGCACTCTCTCTCTCTATCTCTCACTGAAGTACTTTGGGAGAAATAAATAGATTTAGTTTCAAATATCAGGACTCCTAACTGTTTCTCATCTGAATCTGAACTGACAATATCCCATCATTCTGTAACTGACAACAACACAACTCAAAGGAAGAAACCAAAAGAACTGTGACAAAGTCACCTCATTCTATCCTTTTAGCTTGGACTCTCCATCCACAGGGTTTTCCACATGTTTTCATTCAAAATTGTTTTGCAGAACGAGTGTGTTAGGACTATCTACTATTGTGCGTTTGGGTTTAAAAGAGAGATATCGTTTAAGTCACATATCCACACCACTCAGATCACTGTTTTTGTAAGATTGCTCAACTCTATCCCGCATCAGCTTAGCTTCTGTTGAAACTCTAGTCTATCCCTTTGTTACTTCTACAGCTGATCATTCCAATGCCCCAGCTGATCCTGTGTAAAGCTGAGGTAATCCAGATTCCACTGCCAGTATCTTAACTCACATCAAGTCGTAGCTCCCGTCACATTTCAGCAGCCCTGTGCTCAGAGACATGCAATGACTCAAAGTTAAAATTCAATTTGTTTCCAAATCCCTCAATGTTTTTGACCCTTCCCTGTTTCTGCAATCTGCCCAACCTGTCAATTCTGAAAGGTATGTGCACTCTTCCTTTTCTGGGCTTGTTGAACACCCACAGTTTTAATCACTCTGATGTTGATGACTATGTTTTAAGCAGTCAAGGCCCCAAACAGTTGAATTCTCTCCCAACTTTCCTCCTTTAAGATGCTCCTTAAAACCAACCCTCTAATATCTACACTCCTAAACCTGCTACATAAGAATTGTTGAGATAACGCAGATTGACGTGTGGTGACAGCCATG